ACTGTGGCTCAAACAATTGGAAGTACACCTTACTTTTACTTGATTGATTAAAATTTCGATATAAATAATTCATTACCACACAAGAAATGGACACATGTTTTTATTTTTACACAAACCAATGGTTTAATTTATAGTAAAAATAAAGAACAATCGACGATAAACTTCCAAAATAAAAATTTCAGAAGCACTTTAAATAAACATATGCAGATTTTTACCTCAAAATATTGAGAATACATCAATGATTTTTTGTAATATCTTGCCACAACGAAAGTGTCAATATTTAGTTGCACATGTTTTCTTTGGCTTTTATAATGACGTCTAAATGTCGTGATAACGATTCGGTCTTTTTTGGTGTTATCAAGATATTTTCTCCCATTCTTCTTGCAATACTTATTTTAAATGGTTTTCGTTTTTAATTTTGTGTTTTTGCACCGCTGTTTCTAGTGTGGCCCACAATAACACTAATGTCGGGGTGTGTTTACAATGCAAAAGACACCGCATTCTGATGTTTGGGATCGTGGTCCTACTGGAAAATGAAATTCCCATCTAAATCTAAAGTTTTAGCATTTTCCTATAGGTGGTTGCGAAGTATATTTAAGCACTCCCCCCGTAGAATTCAAAACGAAATCTATAAAAACTAAATTTCCTACCCCAGATGAAGCCATAGAACCCCAAACTATGACGGAATCCCCGCCATGTTTAACCACAGGACCTTTTGGATCCAAAGCAGTGTTTGGCTTTCTCCATAAGGTACGCCAAAAATGCTGAATTTATTTTCATCAATAAATATAACTTTCTTTCAAAAGTTATTGGTCTCTTTAATGGATGAACTGCAAACTTTTTTTCTGATTTTGCAAAGGGTTTATTTAAAACATTCGACTTTCAAATACAGCTTGTGTGTGTCTAATCACATTTCGCACAGTTTCAGCACTTATTTTTCTGCCTATGATTTGAGAAGTTTCTGCAACAGCTTCAGGATCACTCTTGATTTCTTTACGACATCACTATGTGTACTCTGAGTGAATCACTCTTCCACATTTATTTTCAATCAATCCATCATTATAAAATTTAAAAATGAATTTCTGGAGACAAGTGGGCCTTCTACCAACTATTTCAGTTGTTGCAAGATAAGAGTTTTCCTTTTTAAACAGTATTAATACGAATTTCCTTACATCCATGCTGGTTTCTCTTCGAGGAGCCATCTCCCAGTCATAAGTTTGGCTTTAATATCCTCTAGTGGTCGTAGTAGCCTTGTGGTCACGTAGTAGCCAAGTTAGTCTTTGAGTTTGACACCCTTGTCTTACAGCGCAATATAACGTTTAACTTAGTCTAAGCAATTTTAACATAGATATGAAATGCTTTTTGCTTTATCATTCAACTATTTTAACCTTATCTAACCCTACAAAATTAGTTTTAATTGTATTTTTATATATTTAATCTATTGTCTTACTTCTGCTACAGAAACTGTTTTCTTATCTAAAAGTGCGAATATTTTCCAATGAAATTTAATATTTTAACAATTGATTGGCGCAATTTAGCCGAAGTCGGCTCTTGCGTCAATAAACTCTACACTCACTCCCCCTCAAAATTCGGGTGGAACCGAGCTAAAGCGCACTGTCACCTGCATGGTGCTCAAGGCTACGGCTAACGATAGGCGTATATCTAGCCCCTTGCCCTGATGAATTTCGTGGACTTGAATCTGTCAAAACAGTCGAGATCAGATGGCATAAGAAGCAACAACCGAAACAACAAAATGGATCATTGAAAATGTGCAAGATAAGATAACGGAAAATTAGATTAAAATAACAGTCAAGAAGAAATTATTGAATGATAGTAAAATATATTTTTCATAAGTTAGTTGAATATAATTCTCCATTTTTGAAGGAAAGTTCTGCGTCCGTTTACTTGAAATGTTTTTAAAACTTTTCATTCATTTATTTGAAATTAAACCATTGTTATGAATAATAATAAATACACGTGTGCACTTCTCGGTAATGTGTTTTTCGTATTGAAAGTTCAATTGATGAAGTAAAAGTAAGGTGTATACTCAATTGTTTGTGCTACTATATCTCTTCATTCAACACGAATCTATTCTATTCACTGAAGTGAAAGGAAACGATATAATAAAAATAAGAAACGTCACCTCAATGGACTTCTTACTTACTTGTTAACAGAAAAAGGCCCGTGAAGAAGTAAAAATCTCGCATTGTGCAAATTTCGATTACCTGCAAAAGAGAAACATGACCAAAAGTTGTTTTTCATTGTTGAATTCAAATGATATTTCAAACCAAAAACTTAACTTATTCTAGAAATTGCTTACTAATCAAAATTGCCTGAAGTTTTATTGAAAAAAACATACTTAACTATTATTTTTACCTAAGTAGTCATATATATATATATATCAGCTTTTAATGTATTGAATAATTTTTTCTACAAATTTCGCCTCTTGCTTTAAAAACGTGAATTTCTAAAACGATCTTTCACGCCTCCAAACACCTCCTTCGTAGTCGATTTCCACAAACCCCAATTATAGCTGATATTTACTTAACAATAGAAAAATAACTTCCAAATTTAAGGACTGTAGGTCTAATAACTTAAAAACGGTAATTTGTTAAATCTATAACGTCCCCGTAACCCCTCAAAACTCCTTCCCTTTGGGAGTCGATTTCCTTAAAAACCGTTCTTAGCGGATTTCTACTCAAGAGGAGAAACATGCTTTCCAAATTTCAAGTCTATAAATATAACATTTTAAAAAACAGGATTTTTCTTATTCGCATTTTGAAGCAACACTAGGGCTATTGGCAACGGACTGGTCACTTTGCAACTCAGTCAGATGACAAGGACAACACCTGAGCTGCCACTTTCCCCTGTCCGATTTTCCACAATACTCCAGCATGAGAACGTTGAACATTTTAACTACGGCAAGTTTATAGAAATGATGATGGCCCTCATAATGTAACCATTTTCAAAATGGCGAAATCTATTTTGCTCACAGCTCGTTAGGAAAGTCTAATGCTACTTGAATCAAAAACATTTTATATATCTAAAGAATTTTCTTTCCCTTCTTGCTGGAATAATTTTTACAGTTGAAATTTGCACATAACTTTGCACTTTTCGTGCCAATTGTTACAGGTGAAAATTTGTCAAAATAAGTAATTAAAAAAAATATATTATAATGAAATAATTTTAAAAAGAATCAAATCTTTCTCTTCCGATACATTTTAAATGACCTCCTTTTAGTAAGAAGAGATAGAATTTGAATGTTTATTTCTAATATATCATTTTACAAGGATAATTTTTTTGTACTTTTTTGTACAACATATTGTGAAATATATACAACTATATTTTAAATATATATATATATATATATATATATATATATATATATATATAAAAGGGTGTTTTTTTAGAGGTATAGAACTTTAAATTGCAATAAAACAACGATGTATTATTCGATTGACATGAATTTTTTTTTATTCGAAAGATAATCTTGTGGCATTACATTTTAAATATGATGTCTGGCATAGGAATGCCACGGCTGGCTCGGATGTAGTCTAATCTGGACGTCCAACTTTTTCAACATTTGTGACCGTATATCGGCAATAACACGGCGAATGTTGTCTTCCAAATGGTCAAGCGTTTGTGGCTTATCCGCATAGACCAATGACTTTACATAGCCCCACAGAAAATAGTCTAGCAACGTGAAATTAGGCGGTCACCAAACGTGTCTTTCAATAAATCGATTATGGCACGAGCTGCGTGACATGTTGCGCCGTCTTGTTGGAACCACAGCTCCTGGACATCATGATTGTTCAATTCAGGAATGAAAAAGTTAGTAATCATGGCTCTATACCGATCCCCATTGACTGTATCGTTGTGGCCTTCATCGTTTTTGAAGAAGTACGGACCAATGATTCCACCAGCCCATAAAGCGCACCTAACAGTCAGTTTTTCTGGATGTAACGGTGTTTCGACATACACTTGTGGATTAGCTTCACTCCAAATGCGGCAGTTTTGTTTGTTGACGTAGCCATTCAACCAGAAGTGCGCTTCATCGCTAAACAAAATTCGCTTATGAAGTCATCGAAAATTGGACGTCCAGATTGGACTACATCCGAGCCAGCCGTGGCAGTCATATGCCAGAAATCATATTTAAAATGTAATGCCACAAGATTATCTTTCGAATAAAAAAAATTCATGTCAATCGAATAATAATCGTTGTTTTATTGCAATTTAAATTTCTATACCTCTAAAAAAACCCTTTATATATATATATATATATATATATATATATATATATATATATATTTTATATATATATATATATATATATATATATATATATATTAATTTTTTAAATGTATTAAATACATTCAGAAAATCTTCGGAGGCTGCAGTTACCAAGTGGTCAGGAACTTATAGCCTGCGTTACGGAGTCGGGGGGGGGGACCTGCGGTAGCCCAGTGGTCAAGATATCTAATTATGGCAGGCATGTCATGAGTTCCAGCCCAGTACCACTAAAGACCAACCGTGTAAGGGTGCGATACACGTTAAATCTGTAGAGAGCTCAAACGTCCTATTGGCGTGGGGTGCCAGCTCAGGTGTCGTCCTCGTCACTTGACCATGGCTCAAAAAGCCCTCGTGTAGCTAAACATTGCGACGTTAATATTCACTCACTCGCGGAGTCATGGGTTCGAGTCCTGAAGACCCACCGTATTGACGGACTGATGCACGTTATATCTGTCGAGGCTCAAAGTCTTTCGGTTGATGTGGTATGGAAGTTTGTAAAATACAGTGACAGTTCAGGTATCAACCTCGTCGCTTGATTGAGGCTGAAAATAAAGAAGCCGTTACCAATAGCTTTTATGTAGCTTTAAAATGCGACGTTAATAAATCAAATCAAATACGGCAACACCCGAGATTATTTCTAGTTCGCACAATTCTCAATTTGGGCGCACATCTAACGATAGACAAAAAAAAAAAAAAAAAAAATAGAACGCTGTCAGAAGTGGGATTCGAACCCACGCCGACATTCGTGAACCAGAACACTCAAAGCTCTGCATCAGAGCAAGGGAACTTCCTTGAATCTGGCACCTTAGACCGCTCGGCCATCCTGACACGCACAGTATTAAAAATGAGCGTTGATAAATAACTAGTTGTCCTCTTGCCCTTGTATTTGATTGTGGAATTATCAGCAGTCGTGACGTTATAAAATGAAAAAATAATTTTTTTTATTACTAAATTTAATTGTAGGTAATTTGTAAATATAAATAAGCATGTTTTATATAATAAATAACATGCGCATTGTAGAGAAACTTATACAAAATTATAATTACTTTAATAGCATTTACAGAACAGTTTCATATAAAAATTGTAATAATTATTTTAAAAAGTTCTCCTTTTCAGAGCGCTTAGTCGTTTATTTTCGAGAGTTATATATATGTCATTTTTCAGACCGAACTCTTTTTGTTTCGCTTTACACATCTTGAATAGGTCCCTTAAAATCCCACACACACACACACTAAATAAGCTGTATACTTTATGAAAGCTACATAAAGTTGCGCACCAGTTCTTCCTTTACTGTTAAGTGATGAAAACGGCGTAAATAAACTATGCAAAAAAAAAGAAGTAATATCCTGCATAGAGCAAAAAGGGAGAATGCATTTCCAAGACTGTACAAGATGAAATACTGAACCTTATTAATTCGAAAAGTATCGTGATAAAAACAATGAAAATAAATGCAACTTTGTAAAGGTGATGACTCTTGAATGGAAGTAGGGGGAGAAAATTGAATTCTATTCCTTAGTGACCTGCAACCATGATCATTAACTTTCAGGTACTAGACGAGGGTGGCCCAAGGGCCGCATGCAGCCCGCTTTGAATAATTTTGTGTCCCGCGAGGCTCATTACAAAATAAGATTATTTTGTGCAATATTATTGTTTTTAGTGTAGTATTTTGTAACAAATACACACTCAGGAACATTGAAAATAGCGACCCAAGAAAGAAGCTAAGTACAATAGCGAAACTTTGCAAATAAGTACAGCGTAATGTGATATGCAAATGATCCAAGATTTGTGCCAATACGCATGCTCATACACGCCGAGGTGGCGCTACAATCAGGAATCAAATTCGAAGATTCATAAACGTGACGATTACCCGCCGATTGTAGGAAGACTTTGGTAAGCGAAACATGCCAGGTAAACGTTCTAGAAGACATTTCTCACAGTAAAGCGAGTTTGAGAGAGGCCTGATCACCGGGATGAAAACTGCAGGCTGGTCGACGCGCCGTGTTTCTGGCCAGGTGGATCGTTCGGAGTGTGCCGTTAGAAATTGTTGGGAGCAGTGGACACGAGAAGGTACCCACGCGCGGAAAACCGGGTCTGGAGCGACCAGGAAGACCACGAGGAGAGAGGATCGGAGGATCGTGTGGCAAGCACTTGTGGACCCCACAGTGACTCATTCAACGATACGAGCAGACGTAGGCGTAGCAATTGTTCCACAAACAATTTCCAGACACCTTGCAGAAGCAAATCTTAAATCCAAGCGCCCTTTCCGTGCACTCCCTTTAACACCGGAACATCGGCAACTGCGTCTACAGTGGTGCCAAGCCAGATCAATATGGAATGTCACAGATTGGCAAAAGGTTGTGTTTAGTGATGAATCCTGGTTTGTTTTGGGGACAGATGACAACCGTGTACGGGTGTGGAGGCGCCCTGGTGAGCGGTACAATGGACTAAATTCATGTGACGTCAAGATCACGTGATTCCGACAACCGGTGAATATGGTTTCGTTTGTTTACTATTGCGTACGATTATTTTGTTCTTAAAGATTTACATTTTACTTTCTAAAATGTCTTATTTTGCTGAAATGGTTGCTCGATCAGTTATAGAAAGGATAATTAGAAAGAAAAAATCATTTTATAATATCGTTATAAAAAAATCAAAGTGCTTTAATAGCATGGTGAAGCGTGAGGATTATATACCATCTTCCCAGTGTTTATGTGTTTGACCGTAAAAAAAAAGACACCGTAAGACAAATGAAACTTCTTCAAAAAGGATTTTGGATAGCTGTAGACTTACTTCTACAAGAGTGTAAATATTTAAAAGCAAATATTTGTTTATTTTACATCAAGTTATATTGAGATACATCAAGTTATATTGAGAACGTATTATGTTTAGTTAACTTAAATTTTACTTATGTGTTACACATCTTCAGAGTAGTTAACTGAGGTACTTCAGCATTTAATTATCTAAAATTAGAACACAAGAATCTGATATGTAACCATACATATATCAAAAAAAGAAAAAAGTATATATATTTATAAAACTTATTTTACTTAGTAATTTTACAATATTACAGGGAAAAAGAAAAAAATAAAGAAATGGAAAAATATCTTACTTTATTACAGCTCTGTTAATGTTTATACTAGTTGATGAAATAAGAACCACTTTCAAACATTAGAAATCAAAATTATCATTTACAATTTGTAAAATTACACATAAAAAAATTGTGCTACTTAAGGTAAAATATATGATTTATCGATAATTGAATTCCAAATATGGTAATAAATTAAGGCATTAAAATTTTTAAATTGGAATGTGTATATAGTAGAATATAAATTTGTGTCCATATATTAAATATAAAAGTCCTGCTCTCACTCCTACATGACCAAAATAAAAAAAGTCATTTTGAATTCATAATTCTTTTAGAAAAAAATAAAATTGTAATATATTTGCGTGATTTCAACACATATGTTTTTCAGAGTTTGACTGTATGGTATAAAAACTTGTCTCACACATATATAAATTTTTTTACTACATATGTATAACAAATATGCATTTATTGGTATTTGCACAGTTTGTAGATTTATCATTATAGAGATTAGATTTATTTTATACTTTTGCTAAAATAAATCTCATGATATATGTCCTGAATAAATTTGTTGCATTGAGTTTGTTGCAAATATTGACCTAAGAAGAGTACTTGGATCAATTTTATGATATTTATCGAAGAGAATTACAGAGAATATTTTTTCAAAATTATTGTTAAGAGGTTAATTGGTCAAAATCACTGTTATTTTTGTGTGACATATGTTTCGAAGATAAATTTTGGGCTCTTGTGTATTATAATGATCAATTTCTTTTTTTTTAAAGTATAATTATATATAAAAGGACACTTTAGATAGATATTAGTGATAACAAAATAAAATGCCAATACATTTCTCCAAGTAAGTTTTAAGTTTGCATGAAATGGAACTCAAGTGTTTAACACTAAACATAAATATCTGGTCAAGAGACATACCTAGTAGAAATTGTGAATGGAAATTTTATGCAACTATTTATTTCATATTGTATTAAATTGTTTCTATCTTATTTGCAATTCATTTTCATCAAAGGATAAATATTTATTGTTATATAATCAAAAACTTTCATATTAACTCTATCTAATATGAGATAAACAATAGCTTAAAAAAGTATGCAATTCAATTAGAAATTAAATTGAATTTGTGAAAATTATAGTATTTTTTCTGATGAAATAGTCTTTAATATTATACAATTATTTATAACAAGTTGTTCAACATGTTATAAGCACTTTATACAAAGGCAATTAAAAAATTATTGAATTTGTAATGTAAATTTTTAATATAGTTCATACTCGCATTAATAATCTGAATTTGTGATCCAAGTGTCGCATATCAATGCATAATATTCAGTATTCGAGATATAAAGGTGAAGTTCATATTACATTGGATATTTTTCAAAAATTATATATTAATATGATTCATTTCTTTAACTTAATAGTGAAATTGTATTTTCTTTTATTACTTTATAGAATAATTTCTAAAAAAATTTCCAAACATTTTTAAAGGATAGTTACTAAGTAAATCAGACAGTCAAAGATAGGAATGTTATTTTATTAGAAACATTTTCAAATAGCTTTAAATGCTTCATAATATTGTAGAAAATACATATGAAGTATTTATACGCAATACATTGTGTAAACAAAAAAATTCATTTTCAACAAATAACTGTTCCACAGTGAAATAAAATATTCATTTGAATTTTAAGTGTAGGTAGGTAAACTCTCGAGTAAATATAATATATTTTTTAGAAAATTGTTATTTACCATTTCTAAATAATGAAGTACTGGGGGGGAGAGAAATTTCATGCATAACATTATTTATATATATAAATTCACACCTGTGTGAACAGGTTTATCAGCTAGTAGCATATAAGTACAAAGGAAAAAAATTAAGAACTTCCTATAGTATTGATAAATCTCACCAAAATTACGGGATTATTTCAAATGTCTGACACTTATAATTTTTCACATAGAGTGTTTAATGTCCCCATTGGATACTATTATAAAATTTGCAATTCATGAAGTTGTAAAAAAAATTCAATTTTCATCACAGGAGACATATAAATGAATCATATACTCACATCCTTAATTACCTTTACATGCATAATACTGAGTTTTCAGGAATTAAACTATTTTAAGGATTTGTGCAAAAAAGGAAAATAGTTAAATCATGGGTAAACAAATACTTACTTCTTAAGTAGCCACTTAGATTTTAAAAAAAAAAAAGGAAAAAAAGGAAAAAAAAAAACACTTTTACCAAAAGATAATTCTCTTCATTTATCTAAAACTTTCATATTAACTAATGTTCTATATACACAGGCTTCAAGAAATAAACTTTTTTGCAAGTTTGATATGTACTTCAAAAAAAAAATAAGACAATGACATATCAAATTGAATGTAATCATTTCTAAAAATTGTTACCCCTTTTGTAATGGTTTCATTCTCCTTAAGAATATTGTATTTTAATTTAAAGAAAGAAATGACATTAAATTTTTACAGCAAAGAATAATTATAAATAATTTAGAAATCGATAATTTGTGTGTGGGAGGTAAAAATCAAAGAAACGTTTCTTTAATTTTTGTAAACATTCCTCCCACAAATTATCATCAAATTGAAAAAATTCAGAATAAATATTTTCTCCTGACTTTGAATTATTAATTAAAATTACAAACAGGCATTTTTCATATTATTCACACCTAACTGACACTGTGTTGTGTAATAATAGGTGTGAGCTCTTTTTAAAGAAATGATATCA